TATATATATATACAACAATTTGGTATGTGAAATGCTAAAATACCGACAAAAAAAGCGATATCAACTATGCATTCCATAAATTATTTAACATTCATACACCATAAAATTTTCAAGACAATTAATTGTCGCTTAAAATTTGGACTGATATCAATTAATTAATAATCTATATTTATAACTACAATAAAGCGAATTAAATTTTTTTGATATACACAGTTTTTTATCCTATTTTACTTTTATAATTATTTTTTTTATAAATTACAATTTTTTAATTTTTTTTCTATAAATTTCTCTCTATAATTACCTATATATTTAATAATCACTAACTATTATATAATTTTTATTATTTAGTTTTTTTTTAATAACGGAGACACACAAATATCTCTTGTATGTTAGTTTAATATAAATATAATGAATATGGTGAAGATGAGATTAATTCGTGTAGGAAAATTTACATTTTTTTTGTCTTTATATAAACATGATTTAGTCAGAGTCCTAAAAAAATAACTAAATAATAATTTGTGCTTTGGGACATGTTTCATTGCCAAATATATTATTTTAACACCCTCAAATATTTATTTAATTCACAAAGGTGAACAAATTATCTAAAACCGTACTAAATATAAATTATCGTGATACATAAAATAATATTTTTTTATGAAAGCATGTTGGAAAATTTACACTTAATTCATGAAGATAAACAAAACACCTAAAATCATATATATTAGCATATAAAGTTATTAAAGTAAAATTGTACGTTTTTTAATTCACTGGCATAATAATTTTAGTACGAATATATTTTCCTTGCTTTCTATTTTATGATTTAAATAATTTATGTAATCTTTTATTCATCTAACATAGAACGTATGATGAAACACAACAAATGAAAATGAATATTGTTCATAAAATATGAAGAGAAATTTAGACCGAATTCGTGAGAGGAATATTTTGTCCCAAATCACCTTAAAATCACGAACCACTTGGAAAAATATACTTTATCATAATTTTAGAAAATTTTAATTATTTTTATAAAAATTTTAATATAAATTTTTTTCTCTCTTAGTATTTTTTTTTACTTAACTAATTTAATAAAAGTTTTATATTTAATTGGAATTTATTTTTCTTTTACGCAACTAATTTATAAAATAAGATTCAATTAAAGTTTTATTTCAATTTTTTACACGAGGTAATATTGTAGATAATTCAATATTCCTCGCTCTCTTAATTATACGCAATAAAATTTACATGTCAATTGATTTAGATAGTATACAATTTCAAAATTATTTCATTTTAATATATAATATAATATTTAATGCTTGAACTTTTGTTTTCAATACTATTACAAAATCTACATAAGGTGTCTCCCGATTTTCAATGCATCAATTTTCAATGATAATTTAAATTCATTATTTTATTAATGTTAACCAAGATGTATCCATCGTTAGGGCAATACTTACATTACTTGTGGATAAACTCTATATTTTTTGCCCCTCATGTATTCTATTTGTATTGCAACAATACTTACATTCCTGGATGCATCGAAGAGCATGCATGGCAATATATTACGTACTACACAGCCTTTGCCTTTGCCTTTTTTTTTTTTTTTTTTTTTTTTTTTTTTTTTTTTTTT